CAACCAAGCGTGAAACCCACAGTATCCTGGTCCCTTGACACACAGTCAAAAAAAAACTATAACACTCACACATGACTACATCAAAAAATTATTAACCGTAATCGATAGGAATATACATGAAATATAAAATGATAACTGAAATAATTTAAATCATCATACGGTACAACCAATAATACAAGATCAAATAAAATACGACCTAAGATTAGGCATACACACTCTCGTCCTCATACATTCCTAATCTTATTCGATGACGGACTGTTTTGCAAATGATGCTTGCTCACGTGCATTGCTTGAAGTGTTGCACGTTTCTCCCTCTAGGAAGTGGTTTGGGGTACTCCTCCTTACCCGAGCAAAAAAACAAGACTCGGATCTTAGAAGTTGGGCCTTCTCCACCGAATTGGCAAAGTACCCCCCCGTAAAACTCTTCACTCTGGGTCGATAACAGGGTCGGCTCCTTAAGCAACGAACCCCCGCCCCAGATGCTTCCCAGAGAAAGACCGTGTCTACCGCAAGTAGATTTCAATTGTTTTCACTTTTTCTAAGTCCATGATAACTTAGACGAAGAAAGTAAGAGGAGATAGAGAATAAGAATCATTTGGACAAGTATAGGTAGATAAGGTCATTCGGGATACAACGGGTAAACCTCAGGAAACGACTAAGTTCTTTTGACCTTATCTGCTTTATTTCAATCGCATTCATTTTACGACACGCACTGAATTAATCTTTTTGATAATAACAAATCCTTTTAACGAGCAGGCAGGCAAAAGGTAGAAAGAGGACAATCTTTTTCTTCATCTCAAATAGGCATAATCAATCTCTTTTTCAAATATCTCTCTACCTACATCATTGAACTTCTTCAAAACAACAAGTTCACCTTGACAAGCAGGCACGTGGAAGGTAGAAAGAAAACAATTTTTTAATCTTTCCCAAATAGGCATAAATCAAACTCCTTTGCAAGCATCCTTCTACCTACCTGCACCTCACGCAAAAAAAATAAAAAATTCAAAAGAAAACATTACAATTTCATACTCGAGTCATACTTTTTTATTCACATACATGACTCACACAACCTATGTTACCGCGCGTTCATTGAACGCGCGTTCCACGTTCAGTTTTTGAACGTTGTGAACGCACGTTCACTGAACGCCCCTGAACGCAGTTGACACGTTTGCGCAGGGGTCTGTAGGGGCTGGGGTTGTGCCTCTGAGGCCACTGGAGCGTCGGCGGTGCTTAGGGGAGCCTGATGGGAGGTGTAGTCCCGAGAAAAAAAAAAAAAAAAAAAAAAAGCCCGCGTTTCATCGCGGGGCGGTATATAGCGGGAGCGTTCGCACGCGACGCAGTTTTGCAGTGCGCGTTGAGCGTTCCCCGCGTTCACTTCGACAAGTGCTGCACACGCACTGTGAACGAGTGAACGCACGCACGCGTGCACGCGCGCACGCGCGCGCGCGCGAGAGAGAGAGAGAGAGAGAGAGACTGCGCCATGGCGCGCGCGCGCGCGAGAGAGAGAGAAAGAGAGAGAGAGAGAAAGAGAGAGAAAGAGAGAGAGAGAGAAAGAGAGAGAGAGAGAGAGAGAGAGAGAGAGACGGCTCATCGCGTGGAGAGCGACGTCAACGTGGATGTGCGAGGGGACGTCGACGGCACAGCGTGGCAGCGGACGGGCGACCAGGACTTTTTCGGCGCGCAGCGCGACTAAAAATTGAACGCGCGTTCAGTTTGTTGAACGCGCGTTCAATTTTTTTGAACGGGGGCTGGAGGAGGGACCTGTGCGCGGCCCGCGCCGC